GTAATTCCATTCATTGCGGGAATATTGGAAAAACTCAGGATTCTCAGCCAACACAACATACTGGTATGTGCACACTTCAAACCCACAAATACACTAAGGCAGAAGCTTGTCCACCCCAAGGATAAAACACCCAGATACAAACTGAACAACATGGTATATGCAGTATAATGCAGTAAACCATGTGCAGTAAACAACCACTTCATAAACGCATGGCACAACATGGAACAAACCCATCAGGACCAGATTCAGCAGTCCATCTGCATTTAAAAGACAAAGGCCACTCTTTCAAAGACGGCAAAGTCCACATTTTGGACAGAGAGGACCGCTGGTTTAAAAGAGGGGGTCAAAGAGGTCATCTATGTCAAACTGAACAGCCCTCTCTCAACAGAGGGGGAGGGATACAACATCATCTATCTCCAGTCTACAACACAGTCGTTTCAACAGTTCCAAGAAGGCTCCACACCCATTTGCACAACTCAAGTGACCCTGACGACAGATAAGCCTCCAGGTGGCCTCAATGACTCTCTAAAAGAATGCAAATGACCAGCTGTCTGCAAGGAGTATAAATCCTTCCATTCCCCATCATTCAGTCAGAGCTGAAGAAACTTCTTGGGTGAGAAGTGAAACATCGTCAAAGAAAAACAAGAAAATCTAGTTGCCTTGTGAAAAAGCACCTTTGGGATACATACTTTCACACTCATCTTGGTGAATTTGGAACATGCTGCCATTGTGTGTGTATGTGTATGTGTATTAACATATAGGCATTTTGCTTCTCAAAAATGGGTTCTCTTTCAAATATAGAGATAATTATTAGAAAAATAGGTTTGGATGGACAATTCTGGGAAATTTTAACCAAAGCTACCTCACACAAGGATGTTATGAAATTAAAATGGGATAATCCATGAAGCATTTGTTCCATTTGTACCCTAGCTTTCCTCCAGGGATATCAATCTAATATCCGGTGGTGATGCTGCACTGATGGCGGCTTTTTTTTAGGCTGCCAGCCCTGTGATTGTGTAAAAGTTGAGGAGGCAGCGAAAATCAGCTGTCCTGCGGCTTGAAAACCTCCTTTCTCGGGAGAAGAGGGGGAGGAGAGTTTTCCTCGGGTAGAGGTAGAGCTCCCCTAGACCTCCTTAATTATTTGGAGGTTGGAGGGTGAGAGTTCCCTTGGAGCCCGAGGCTTTCTCCGCACTCCAGGACGCCTTCGCCCTGAGCTTCAGAAGCAAAGCAAGACGCCGCATCCACATCTGCATTTTAAAGGGACTTGTGAGTAATTTAAAAGCAGACAGAGCTGACCAGGAGAAGTTAAAATTGCAAGTGCTGGAATCTTTAACTCGGCGAGAAATAATCTTCTCCATATTTTAAGTTGACTTATAGGGGGAAAAATGGCGCCGGAATGCTGTTTTTTGTTTGTTTGAAAGGACAGTGTTAAGAAAGAGATACAATTGGTAACAAAGTTTAAGGGGATAGTGAAACTTATAAGAAGTGGATTTATACAAGCAGGAAATGGCTTCAAAGCGTTTAGGAATTTCTGCTGTTCCTAAAAGTACAATTTCTTCGACTGTAGTACAGCGTGCAGTGCAATCTAAACCTAAATCCCCCCCACCTTCTCCTCCACCACCTGCATTTACGCTTAAAGATATTCAAGATGCTTTAAAGCAAGCAATACAAGAAATAAAGGAGGAGATGGCTGATCTCCTTGACAGTAAAATAAAGGAGGAGATGGCTGACCTTCTGGAGAATAAAAATAGAGAAATGAGGGAAGATATATTGCTTGCACTTCAAGGGTTAGCTACACATATTGAACGTTTGGATGACCGGATGGATGAAGTTGTGGAAAACACTGAAAAACTAGAAAGCAGAGTTGTCAAAGTTGAAAATAAGATTTATATAACAGAGGATGAAGTTACCATCTTACAATATAGAGATATGGAATTTGCATTGCGAATAAGAGGATTAAAGGAGGATCCACGAGAAGATCTGAAAGAGGAGGTGGCAAAAGCTATAGCTCCTATTCTGGGATATGTACCTGAGGAATTATCAAGAGAGATGGATGAAATATTTAGGATCACCTGAAGTTCTTGAAGAAAAAGCAAATACAAATATGACTAAGGATGTTGCTTTGTAATAAGACAGGAAGAGACTGTTTTATTTCCCCTGCAGATGAATATAGCAAGGGGAGTGAGTGTTGAAGGCTGAAGTATTAACTGTGTGCATGTGTGCATTCCTGAGAAAAGGAATCTAATCTAACCTTTGATGGGTTAACATCAGCCAAGATCTCTTTCTACAGTTGGTACTTGCTGTCTTTAGGAAAATAGCACAATATTGTTGGGATAAAGGTAACTACCTCCTGCTACAGTAGTTTTCTAATTGAATTAAAAATAAATATCAATATATATAAAACTGTAAAAAATAGATCATCTTTCTTCAAATTTCCTTCATGTTTCAATCATAAGTCAGATTTGGAAAGGCCATTTACAGAAATTCAACCAAGGCATTTTTGACATACAGTATGGCTGTCCAGTCTCTGCTTGAAGTAGCAAAGGAGAGTACACAAGTTCCTTAAGCAATTCTATCCATTTTTTCTAATGCTCAACCAGAATCAACATTGCTATTGTGTAAGATAATTAATTATTCCATGCCTTGCACTCTAGGATAATAGAGAATGGATCTTGATGCAGGATCCAATATGGGTCGGTCACTCACACTGGAACCCATCATGTGTGCGCACATTCTGCTAGAGAGAAATTACCTGAACCCATCATGTGTGTGCACATTCTGCTAGAGAGAAATTACCTGAGAAATTACCTGAAAAATTACCTCCAGTACGAGTCCGAAAGCTCGGAAGACAAAACCGCTGGTCCCAATGACCGACCCAGATTGGATCATGCAACATTATCCTGGGACACATATAATTGCCTTCATTCGTGAAACAAGTCTTGATTTCTGTATTAACCATCATACCAACAGTATGATGGACAAACATATCTCAGGGAGTATCTGTTTCACAATATAGGCACCATCCCTGAAAAGGTCTGCCTCTGAGGCCCCCATTCCCTTACCTTCTTGTGAATTGTGAATAATTAAGTGTCCTGCTTTGGGGACTGCATAGAAAAAAACAGATTCTAGTATGTGGAAACAAGTTTGTAAGTCCAAGGGAACCAAACTATTTAGGACTTTAATAGATGGTACCAGGACTTTGAACAAATCCAGAAACCTATTGAATGGGTAGGCCAGAAATTTGGGGACTTTTTTTTTTGCTTGAGGGTGGAAGAGATAAAGGAGGTAAAACAATTGTTCTAAGAGTCATAAGACCTAATATATTTATTTTGCCCCTTTGTTTTGCATACAAAAGAAGCAACAAATCATGCTGCTGAAAATCAGAAATGTTTGCTGTTGTATCTCCAAGTATTTGATGTAGGGGTTGCAACAGAGACCAGGGGTGTACCTCTAGTTATGTTTTTACGGGCTGCAAACCATATCATCAAGTACACATGGCTCAGTTCTCAGATTGATATCAATTCAAGAGATGGCCTTCTCCAAGCTCCTAATGCCCACCAGTTTGATAGTTCATAGAAAAGTAAAAAAGAAAATGAGGAAAATCTTACCCTGATGTATATTGATACTGGCAATTAGTTCAGTTGCTGGCATTCTTGTTACCTTGCCCCCCTCCTTTCCTCTCAATGCACTTTGCTAAAGAGAGAAAAATGTGTGCTTGGAAAAGGAATTCCCGTTGGGTTCAGGCAGAAAGGAAAAGCTTGACCCTTGGAAAGGATGGGATGATAAACAAATCAGTGGTAAATGAAATGTAGAGAATACCACCAAATTACATTGACCACACTCATTTTAAAAAAAGAAAAGAAAACTGAGACTAATGGCAATGAAACAGACGCATCCCAGCACTGGCAAACATAAATATGAGCAGGAAGCTGGGACTGGCATTAAATGAGGTAGATGATGGTACAAAAGATTCTCCTCCCATGTCTAATGGCCAGGCAGAAATAAGATGCATATTTGGGGCAAGTAGAGATCTTCCATAAGTTGCTGCTGAATTATAACTCTGTGAAAAAGGAGAACGTCTGAAATTATTGGAAACCATAATATTAGCCGTATTTATTCAATTTATCAATTCAAGTAGTTAATTCAACTTAACCGAATGTTTGGAAAAGATCATTCCTGTGGGATTTAGGCAGAGACCAAAAGGATGAGATGGTAAGCAAATCAGTGGAAAGTGATATTAAGTTGAATTAAGAGGGCACAAGATTAAATTAAATCAAATGTACCTTTCCTTTTAATTCTCCCATTTCTTGACCTAGTCCAGGGGTAGGCAACCTCGGCTCTTTTATGACTCATGGACTTCAACTCCCAGAATTCAACTCCCAGAATTCCTGAGCCAGCTATGCTGGCTCAGGAATTCTGGGAGTTGAAGTCCATGAGTCATAAAAGAGCCGAGGTTGCCTACCCCTGACCTAGTCCTTCAAAATTTAAAATTTTGGTTATAAGAATTTTCTGTGCCAGGGAAGTAGAGTCACGGGGGCTTAGTGGGGCTCAGAAAGATGGGGATGATGGGGACGATGATTTTAGAGATACAGTAATAGTAACGTCGCCACGCACCTTTCAACCAGACGCGGAAAAGCCCCACCAATAACCCTGGTAACCGGCTAGCGTCTTACAGGAAAGTCATGCGCATTCCCAACAGATACGACCCTCCCACCTTCACACATACACCCCAACAGAAACCAGAACGGGTGCCAGATCTCGACGTAGCCCTTCACACGTGAAAAAGGCGGAAGGCGAGAGCGGGTCTTCGTCCCTTAGGCCAACCTCCCTTGCTCGACCCCTGTCATCTCTCAGCCAATGAATACACAGAATTTCGGTTCCCTCCGTTGCTATTAGTCACCGAGGGCAAAGGAGAGAAGAACGAATCCTCCAATAGCGTTCCGAGTTTGGCGTGTGGCGCGCGCGCTCCGAGGGCCGAGTGGCGGACCGGAGCTGGGGACCCTGGGAAGATGGCGGCGGCGGGAGCGTCGGTTTCGGTGCCGATAGCCGACTTCGCTTGTGCGGATTTCTCCGACTTGCGGGGGATCAAGAAACAGCTGCTGGATGTGGCGGAACGGAGCCGGGAACGCGGCCTTCAGCATAGTGGGAAATGGTACGGGGGGGGGGGCGGCGCCTAGGAGGAAGGACTTGTAGGCTGCTATTCCGATGTGCCGGGAGATGGTGAGGACGCTTTATGCCAGGGGTCTTCAAACTTGACCCTTTTATGACTTGTGGACTTCAACTCCCAGAATTCCTCAGCCAGCAAAGCTGGCTGAGGAATTCTGGGAGTTGAAGTCCACAAATCATAAAATGGCCAAGTTTGAAGACCCCCTGCTTTATGCAGTTTGACTTGTGCGGGCATTTGCTGTGCGATTGCTAAGAGCCGAAAACGACGTGATGACAAATAGGCAATCAGAATCAACGCAGGCAGTTGGTCAAGTCTCAGAAATAATGGGGCTGCCCTGTTGAATTCTTTTAACAGGCCTGTGGTGTTTGGGGTAGGTGGATGGGTACAAAACAAATTCTATTTAGTTTATAAACGATAGCGATAGCACTTAGACTTATATACCGCTTCACAGTGCTTTACAGCCCTCTCTAAGTGATTTGCAGAATCAGCATATTGCCCCCAACAATCTGGGTCCTGCTGATCATAGCATTTTAGCAAGCGGCCTATAGATTTGCAGCTTTTAAGGCAGGAGTTGCAGCTGGAACTGCTTCCTTGAGTGTGAAGTTATACAGCATAGGGAGTTTTTGTATGAGTCCATGATTGCTGGGTTCATACACGATGAGCTGTAATTTGTTTGATTGGGATTTATTGAATAATCTATAATTGATTGACTTTAGAAAACATGCTAAGATGTAAACTGAGTTGCAAGCCAAAAATTGGTTCACAGACTATGTCTAAGCAGAACTGAGTAAATGATATTGTGTAAACTTAGGCAATGTTATGATTAACCAGGCAGTTTATAAGCAGTGTTTGCTCTAACACAGTAGATGTTATTGTTGCAGGGCCTCAGAACTGGCCTTGGCTTTGGACCCTCTACCCTTGAATGAACTGCCTCCTGTTCCTGAACTTACAGAGGTATGGATGATTGTTGGTATTGTCTATAATATTAAACTAAAAATGATTACTTCAGTGACATTGTAAAATCTAGGGACATTGTATATTAATAGTTGGTGATATATGCAAGTTAGTTGCTAAGCCTGAAGCTCCAAATTTACTTGGGAATAAGTTTCATTGAACATAGTTTTTAGTTATGATTGTATTGTGTATCTCTAACCTATTGTTTGTTTGAAAATCTTTAGTCTGAAAGGCTCCAAGTACTACGTATTGATCAAATAAAAATTGTTGTTGGCATTAAGATTACAATTTTAAAAAAAGATATGAAAAAGAAAATTGATGAGTTGGGAAAACAAAAATATTCAGGAATCAGTTTAATGATGTAAGATCTTAGCCTTCAGCCTGATGGAATGGATTTTGGACTGTATTGAGACTGGTAAATCCTCATTATCTCAAAACACATGATAATTCTTTTTGTGAAAAAAGGGGCAAAGAAAACTTTTAGTTTGTACTTCTTTTATATTTACTGCTCGATCGTTAGTAAATGATTTGTGGGAAAGGGTTTCAGACGTTAAACTTTAAAGAATTTTTATGTCACACTACATGCAACCATATTTTTAGTTCTGTATAATGATAATTACTTTTGATCTTCATTTCTGAAGCATAATACTTTGGGCAAATTTTAAGATATCCTGGTATTCTATTGAATGTTTCATTTTTTTTATCATAATTCACCAGCTCAGCTATTCTAGAATTGTTTGTAGTTTTATAAAAATAGATGTTCTGAAAGTGATTTCTTATGTTCCAAACATAGTGTAGGCCTGATTTGCTACATTTTGCACACAACTTAGACTTACATACCAGTCCATAGTGCTTTACAGCACTCTCTAAGTCAGGGGTGTCAAAATGCCGGCCCGTGGGCCGGATGCATCATGTGGAAGTTGCGCCCACTCCGTTGCCGGCCCGATTTGCACGACGTCACGAGTTTGACATGCCTGCTCTAAGTTTACAGAGTCAGCATATTGCCCCCAACAATTTGGGTCCTCATTTTACCGACCTCGGACAGATGAAAGGCTAAGTCAACCTCGAGCCAGTCAAGATCAAACTCCTGGCTCTGGGCAGGGTTTGTCTGCAATACTATATTCTAACCATTGTGCCACCGGGGATCATTTATTATTAAATCTATATTAATCATTCTCAGAGAAGCACAAATCTTATTTTGTTGTAGCCAATACAGTTTGAAAATTCATGATTTAATTAATTTATTAAATTTACAATTTAATGTTGCTGTTTATAATAGAAGTTGGGAACAGGTGGTCTTCCAAATGTTACTGAACTACAACTCCTAGCAAGCCTCAATATCTCCAGGCTACGTTGATTGTAATTGCTGTGAGTTATAATTCAGTACTGTTCGAAAAGAATAGGTTTTCCCACTTTTAAGGAAAACCTGATGTTCAAGAAAAATATGTTCTTTCCCACAAGCTTTCCATGCCAGCAATGTATCATTTGTTATGGAGCGGTTTAATACCGCTTTCTTTTTTTCCACAGGAAGATGCTTGCGATTTGGATGCTTACACTCTTGCCAAATCTTACTTTGATCTAAAAGAATATGACAGAGCAGCCTACTTTCTAAGAAATTGCAAGAGCCCAAAAGCTTATTTTTTGTATATGTACTCCAGATACCTGGTGAGCTCAAACTACTTCCTTTCTGTTTCTGATGGCCAGATCAGTGTGATAAATTTGAGAATCTAGTATGATATACACTTGTTTAATCTTAAATTAATTGTTCTTTGTTTTCAGTCTGGTGAGAAAAAGAAAGATGATGAGACAGTGGATAGTCTAGGTAAGGAATCCAAGGTAAATCTTTCATTTGACTTAGTTTGATTGTTGATATGCAGTTCCTTAGGCATGTTATTCTTTAGAGGAAGGCTGCAGTGCTTAGCATAGCTAGGCAGAAAAATCAATTCTCAATATGACACTATTACGAAAAACACAATAGCCTAACACAATATAACACTGAAAACGATGTAGCTCAGATTAATAAATTCCAGACCAGATAATCTAAATGCAATGGTGCAGATACGGTATATGTGTTTTATCCCTGATTGCTGTGTAAGAGATTGTGAAAGCCTGAGAAAGATTTATTTTATCACCTGAAATATAAAGCCCTTCTGAACTAGCTACAAATTGGAAGGATGCGAAGTTGTAAATTACACATCCATTGTTAACATGCAAAATATGATTATATGTCAGTGTAGAAAAGGTGACAATTGTAGTAAAAGGCAGTTTTCTTTCTCTACAGGTCCCTTAGAGAAGGGACAGGTGAAGAATGAAGTTCTGAGAGAATTAAGAGTTGAACTTAGCAAGAAGCATAAAGCCCGAGAATTGGATGGATTTGGACTTTATCTGTAAGTTTTGTATGAGATAACCAGTAATGTAAGCTATATAGAAGCATTTGCATTCCTATGTGAAGCAGGAATTGTGAAAATAGCAAGGCTTTTTTTTTCATTTACTTGTTTGCTATTCATTGTACAGCGTCATAAATTGGGGCAACATGATTACAGAGTTTTGTTTTTTCAGTCTTTGCCTTTGTGTCCCATTAGGTATGGAGTTGTATTGCGAAAACTGGATCTAGTGAAAGAGGCTATTGACGTGTTTGTTGAAGCAACCCATATCCTGCCATTGCATTGGGGAGCCTGGCTGGAGCTTTGCAACTTGATCACAGACAAAGAGACGGTAAATTGTGGGATAACTTCATGCCCAATCCTTGTTTTCTCCCATTGCTTGATCACTAAGCATTGACTGATCTAGATTTGATATTGTTCATGGTGTTTTTCTGATGAAGAAAAAAATAAATCTAGCTAACCTAATTAAATAAATAGCCTTGGAGGGTTTTTACCTTAATCCTGTCTGAAGATCTATTCAAATGAGCAAGCACAGTGATTCCTACAGTTCAGGGGAGGTACTATAGACTCCTTCTCTAAGTGTCTTCCTCTTCTATTTGGTGCTTGCTGCCAGCTGAAGTTCCTGTCCTTGCCAGATACCTGGATGAAGGAGTTCTTCCTGGCACACATATACACAGAGCTGCAACTGATAGAGGAGGCCTTGCAGAAGTACCAGAGTCTCATAGACGTTGGGTTTTCCAAGAGCACCTACATAATCTCCCAGATTGCAGTGGCCTATCATAACATTCGAGGTCAGTGAATCTTTTTAGGCTTGGTGTGGGAGGGTCTCCTTTTCAGTTCCGTTATGCGCTGATCAGAATAAGAGAGTTGGAAGGGACCTTGGAGGTCCTCTAGTCCATGGGTCTCCAACCTTGGCAACTTTAAGACTTGTGGACTTCAACTCCCAGAATTGGGAGGCTGAGGAATTCTGGGAGTTGAAGTCCACAAGTCTTAAAGTTGCCAAGATTGGAGACCCCTGTTCTAGTCAACCCCCCTGCTCAAGCAGGAGACCCTATACCATTTTGGACAAATGGCTGTCCAATCTCTTCTTAAAAACCTCCAATGGTGGAGAACCCCTAATTCTGAAGGCAAGCCATTCCACTGGTTAATTGTTTTCACTGTCAGGAAATTTCTCCTTAGTTCTAGCTTGGTTCTCATCTTGATTAGTTTCCATCCATTGTTTTTTGTCCTGCTTTCAGGTGCTTTGGAGAATAGCTTGACCCCCTCTTCTTTGTGGCAGCCCCTCAAATATTGGAACACTGTTATCATTTCACCCCTAGTCCTTCTTTTCACTGGACTAGACATACCGAATTCCTGCAACCATTCTTCATATATTTTAGCCTCCAGCCCCTTAATCCTCATTGTTGCTATTCTCTGCACCTTTTCCAGACTCTCAACATCTTTTTTATATTGTGGCGATCAAAACTGGAGGCAGAATTCCAAGTGTGGTGTTACCAAAGCACTGTAAAACAGTACTAACACTAACAGAATTGCTGCTGTTGAGTAAGGTTCCACCCATTCTGTACACATACATTTGTTTTTTCTTGCCTAAGTGTAAAGCCTTACTTTTCTCACCATTGATTTTCATTTTGTTAGATAGGGCCCAG